GTAATTCTAGTCTCATTGAATGAGTTAGGAAGTATTCCCTCTGCTTTTATATTCTGAAAGAGATTTCAGAGAATTGGTATAATTTCTTCCTTAAATGTTTGGTAGAAATCACTTCCTTAAATGTTTGGTAGAAATCACTTCCTTAAATGTTTGGTGAACTCAGTCTGGTGCCTTCTGTTTCAGAAGGTTATTAGTTATTGATTCAATTTCATTAATAAATGTAGGCCTATTCCATTTGTCTAGTTCATCTTGTATGAGTTTTGGAAAATTAGGTCCTTCAAGGAATGAGTTCATTTCACCTAGATTATCAATTTGTGAGCATAGAGCCTATTATCCTTTAATGTCAGTGAGATCTGTAATGATACCCCTCTTTCATTTCTGAATAACTTTCGTTCATTCTTCATGTGCTACTTGTGTGTGCTAGACAAAGTAGAATTTCAACTAAACCAAAGCAACTGTTCAGCAGATTTAGCCTTAGTCCTAATTAGATTATTAGTAACATCTCCGTTTAGAAATGTGTGAAGGTACTTTTAGCAGAGGAACCAAGCTTGAGCTAGTTTAACCATAGTGAATTTTTGCTGAGGAAGCAGAAGAAATGGTTATATTGGTGAGGGCATAATCCTGTAATCTTTTCTGTGTCCTGATACCTCAGGACCAGCGTAAGCAAACTCCCTAGACAAGATGTGGTTCATGCAAGAGAAAATGTGCTTTTTAAAATGAACATGGGCCCAGCATAGTGACTCATGCCTGTAATCCCAACATTTTGGGAAGTTGAGGCGGGAGGATTGCTTGAGTCCAAGAGTTTGAGACCAGCCTTGGCAACATAATGAGACCTTGCCTCTACAAAAAAAAAAAAAAAATCAAAAAATTAGATGAACGTGGTGGTGAATGCCTGTGGTCCCAGCTACTTGGAAGGCTGAAGTGGGAGGAACTCTTGAGCACAGCGGGGTCGAGGCTTCAGTGAGCCATAATTGTGCCACTGCACTCCAACCTAGGTGACAGAGTGAGACCCTGCCTTAAAAAATAATTATTATTTAAATAAAATATAATAATAAAAAACATGGTCTTTCTAATACTCTTTGTTGATCTGAATTTGAAAATTTTCTGTGAGACCTTCTGGCTTATTATAAAGAAATTTGTAGCTAAAGATACATATTGCAATGTTTCGATCTCAAAGCTATCAATGGGAAATCAAACCACAGAAACATCGAATTTGGTTTTGAATATAGTCTAAGTAGACAATAAAATGAAAATACATTTGTTTGTATTGAAGAAGCAAATGACACACCAAAGAATTAATTTCTAATAGTTTTCTTTTTTTCTTTTTCTTTTTTTTTTTTTTTTGAGACGGTGTCTTGTTCTTTGCCCAGGCTGGAGTGCGCTGGCATGAACTCGGCTCACTGCAACCTCCATCTCCTGGGTTCAGGTGATTCTTCTGCCTCAGTCTCCCAAGTAGACAGGACTACAGGCCTGCGCCACCGCGCCTGGCTAATGTTTGTATTTTTAGTAGAGACGGGATTTCACCATGTAGGCTAGGCTGGTCTCGAACTCCTGACCTCAGGTTGATCCTCCCACCTTGGCCTCCCAAAGTGCTGGAATAACAAGCGTGAGCCAGCGCGCCCAGCCTCTAATCATTTTCTTAATTCATGGTGCCCAAAATAAAGGTTCTATATTCAGAGAAACCATGACAGAATTTAAACTCTAGCCCCAATACCTATTTGACATTGGGCAAATCACTTAACCTTTTTATGTCTAATATTTTTAATCTGTTAGGTGGTAATAATATTTGTGTATAACAACATAGGACTGTTTACAACAAGCACTTAATAATTGTTACCTATTGTTACTAAATTGTATTTCTGCTGATGGGTTCCAGAGTATTTTCCTCCTTCACTAAACAAAACTCAGGATACTATGTGAAGGAAAAAAAGTGAGTTTGTAGAATTTATTTTTTAAATGCTTGAGTCAAAAGGAGAGCCATTTGTTGTTCAAGTATCAAAACTATTTTCTGATTTTCTTTCGTTTTACTTGAAACTACATTAAAATTATCTCCAGTTTTCCAGATGATTGCATGATAATCCCTTTTAAGAGGATGGTAACTCATGCAAGGAATAGACTTACTCCCTCTGTTAGGAGAAATCATGGAAAGATATTACAATTAAAAGATACTGAATTTTAGCTTAATTTTTACCTTTATCTAAATAACACTTGTACATAGCTACAGCTTTCAGTGAAGAAGAGATCCTCACAGTCCCACAGCTAAATCCCACTCCTCATAGGCAATGATTTTAACTCTTTCACATATTTCTTCTGGCATTTACCTTCCTACCTCTAGAATAACGTACCTACACTATTGGCCAGGCATAGTGGCTCATGCCTGTAATCCCAACACTTTAGTAGGTCAAAGCGGGCAGATCACTTGAGCCCAGGAGTTTGAGATCAGCCTGGGCAACATGGTGAAACCTCGTCTGTACAGAAAATACAAATATTAGCCAGCGGTGGTGGTGCACGCCTGTGGTCCCAGCTACTCAGGAGGCTGAAGTCGGAGGATTGCTTGAGCCCAGGAGTTTGAGGCTACAGTGAGCTGTGATCACATTATAGCACGACAGCCTGGGCAACAGAGAGAGACCTTGTCTCAAAAATGATAATAATCATCATAGCATACTTATACTATTATTTTTAAAATTGTATTCTTATCCATTGACTTCTTACTGTGGAAGATAATAATTTAGTCCTTTTACTACCATACTTCCTTTTCCAAAACACATACTTCTCCCTCCCCTCCGTCTTCATAGTGTAATTACTTGTAATTTGAGGTTAAATCAGTTGTCTGTGCTTACATTGTAATAACTGAAAGTGCTACTTAAGGTTGAGCTAAGCAGTGTGCTATGATTCTGTTTCCTGTCCTGCTTAGCTATTTACTTTTTTGGAGTTAATTTTTTTTCACTTAGTCATTGCTCATTTTGTTGTCATTTCTTGCTATGTGCTCGTCACTAATTCATCCTCAAGCTCTCTGACAAAGTAATAAAAACTCCTCTCGAAGTGTCAAACATATCAGGCATTCTGGTTTCTCAGGTGATCCCACCTGGCCTTCTTCCTCCTGTGTTTTCTCTAGGCTGCTCTGCATCTGTCGCCTGGGACCACCTTTCACCCCTCTCCTGTGTTTCAGATCCTTTGTTTCCTGGTCCCATCTTTTCTCTTCCTTGGTTCTGGTGGGGAACTCTGGGAAAGAGTACATGGGAGGTAACTTTTCTGGACACCTTGTCTTTCTGAAAATGTCTTTACTCCCATACTTGATGGACGATTTGGCTGAGTCTAAAATTCTAAGTTGGAAATTCTTTTTTCTCTGAATTTTAGCAACATCGTTCTATTGATTTTCTAGCTTCTAGTGTTACTGTTGAGAAGTTCAATGTCATTCTGATTCCTGATCCTTTCTATGGTACTTTTTTTTTTTCCTGTCAGGAAGTACTTATGATCATCTCTACAGAAGGGGCATTAATCTTCACAGTGTTCCTTTTTGTGTGGTTTAAGAAATCCTTTCTCTCTTGGTTTTGTTACTGTTTTAACCAACATAAATCCTTGGTCTTAGTCATTCTAAAGTTAAAGAAAAACTGAGGAACAACTTAGGAATACATTTCAAGTACGTGTGATAAAAGGCAAATGTGCAGAGGATGATCACTGTATGTTTAAAAAATGGGATAAAAGAGATAGTTGCAAACTTTAACATAGGTTAGATCATCATTTCTCAAACTATATTCCATCACATATTAAACTCCTCAAATATTGCACACTGTGCTTTTTTCTCTGTTTTGTGTATTCTCGTGAACATTAGCCTGTTAGTTTAAGAAGTCTCACAGTAAACCTATTTAACCTTGCTTAACCTAGCATTGCCTAAATTTACTTGATCACCAGATTTTTTTTGTTTGTTTTTAGTTATTTTTAAAGGAACATTATTAACATATGTATAACACAGTTGGGGAAATGCCAGATAAGACATAGACTTTCCTGGCTGCTAAAGAGCAATTAAGCATTGGAATGAGTAACCAAGAGGAGCTGCGGACTCTCCTTTTCCAGAGGCCTTTAAAACAGGACATCTGTTTTAGGCGTAGTCCTGTTTAAACAATAGGGCTTTGCTGGCGGTTCTTCCTCTTCCTGTGCCCTAGTGGTAGTGTTGGAGGCTTTTAGCCCACCTTTTATATGACTGTAGTACTCTGGTAACTAGTGTGTACACAAGTTACTGTTATACTATTAATATTAATTCTATTTATTGAGAACGTATTAAGTATCCAGCCCTATGGTAAGTGCTCTACATACATTATCTAATTTAATCCTCACAACAACTCTAGGAGGGAGATAATATTAATATCCTACAGATGGAGATTAGATATGAAAAGATCACTGAACTGCCAGCAATAGGGTTGGATTGGAACCTCGGGCATCTGACATGGGGCTGTGCCCATCCTTCTTCACCGTTAGTATTCAGAACAGCAAACGGCGCAAAGCAAACGAACACATAAAATTTGTATATCTGAACTTACTATGTAAAAATGAACCAAGATAATGCTTATTTTTATTAGACTATTCCCTAAACCTTTTGATTAATTCAGAGTCCATGACTTTTGTTAGAAACAAATTCTGTTACAGATTTAGTTCTTCTGCATTTTATTCTGTGATAATTTACCATCCAGGAAATGGTTCCTTACATGAGACTTTTTCCCTCATAAATTTGATTTCATTCATATGCATTCACTAAAGACCCCCCAAAGATAAATCTGGATCTCTGAAAAGTGGCAAAGGCTAAAAGTCCCATTTTCAGCATATTTACATGTAACAACTTGATAACGTGGCGCTGAGAATGCCAGGCTTAGAGGAGCCAAGCTGGGCTCCTGTCCAGTCAGCCTCTAGCTCACCAGGAAACCCTGAGCAGGTCACTTTGCCTCATTTTCTTTATCTATCAAATGAGAACTCAGATGATCTCAAAACAGCCTTTTCTGCTCTAGTGTTTCAGGATGATTCTTGTCTCTGGATGTCAGCTGTCATGATGGGAGAGGAATTAGTAAATTCCCAGGTCAGTTTACACTGCAGAGTGATCTTGGTCTGCATGAATCAGTAAGGATGGACTGGATAAACAAGTTGGAACCACAGTTATGAGTACCATGACATTAACCTGAAACAAATGAGAAGGGATTGAAAAATCAGCAGTTAAGTGTCTTTTAAGGCCATTTCCAACAAAACTACAAAGGACCTATGAAAGGCTTTTCAGGTACATACTCTTGTTGCCTAGCTGAACACATTTCTCTAATAAAGCTTTCATTTGAGAGTTACTCTTCGTAGTACATCCGCTGTCTCCCTGCCTGCCTGGCACGTCATAGGTATTCAGTGAAGATTTGTTGGAACTGTTAAATAATTGTTTAATATAGAACTGGAAGATCAGGAAGAGATAATGTTTTTCTAACCAGTATTCAGTGTAAAGTCACAAGTGTGGGCTATGGAGCTTCAGACCATCTGGATTCAATGTCAGTTCTACTGCTTAGTAACTGTGTACTTTCAGACAAGTTACTTACTTCCAGGTCCATGCCTCAGTTTTCCCATCTTTAAGGTAAATTATAAGTGCACCTACTTCCTCGGGCTGGTTGTGAGGATTAAATGACACAATCCAGGCACAGTATTTGGTGTAGTACTTTGCACAGATTTAGTGTCCTGTTAGTATTAGCTAATGTAAATATGAAGAAGATACAACATTTTACCAGCTATTCTAATCATAGTTTTTCTTTTCTCTTCATAAGGGACAACATAAAACCCCAAAGGTAAAGCATATATTTCTGGTGTTCAATTTTATAATTTAGCATCTTTTGCAACCCACTTCCATGCTCCCAAATAATAATGCCTATCAGATTAAAGAAGTTACTTTATTTTTGCTTGAAATTGGTTGTATTTTTGTTGAACTACTTCATCCTTTGAGTATTGTGAAAAGTCTGCGCATTGACTATAACAGCATTTAAAGCCAAGTCTGAAGGTCTAAGATAACAGCACACATCCATGTCCTTGCTCACAAGTTCTGCCTAAAGACTTTTGCCTGCTTGAAGCACTCTAAAGGTTGTGAAATTAATGGATATACCCCTGATGCAACACAATTCAGTGTCACCAGCTGGGGAGTTAAGACCCATTCTTGTTACTGAGAAGGGTTGTTGTTCATGCAAATATTTTGTTCATTTGTTCTTTCATGGGTAATTGCACGGAGTAACAAAAAACACCTCCTCAACTTACAGCTTGGCAGAAACAGTAGCTTATGTTTTCTAGAGACAAAATTAGAAGCAGGCTTTCTGGACCCATCTCTAAGTCAAAATAAAATAAAATGTCTAGGGAACCACTGTGCCTCCCAGTAACTATGATCTATGGAATAATGTTGTTTAGGTCAAGGTGTCCCAGAGTAAAAGGGAAGGGAGAAGGGCAGGGGGGAAGGGGAGAAGTGTGTTTGGGCAATGTTTTCATAGAGATGAAAAGGCAAGCTGTTTTTCTTTCTTAGTTTGTCCTTTCAACTTAGAAAAATAAGAAAACCATCTAGGACCCCAACCTTCCTCTTGTAATCAGCAAAAGAGAAAAAACTGAATGTACGTCGTTGAGGGGGAACAGTTATGGCTTAAGTTGTATTTTATTGATAATGTTGAAGATTAACTTTTTTTGGAGGGAACTTAAGTCTTAACAAAACTAAACTGTTGAGAAAGTATTGTTATTTTTCCATCTTTAGTAGCAAAATGAAAATTTACTCTTCTGCATAAAATATGATCATCAATTGGCAAGAATTTGGTAAAAAAAATAAAAAATAAAAATTAAAAAAAAAAACCTGTGCGTAGAATATGCACATGGGAAAATAGAATAATTTGATGCTGTCCTTTTGCTCCAGACTGGAAATCTAATGGTGGAGATAGTTATCCAAATAATTATATCCGAGTTAAAAGCAGAGGTACAAAGTGCTGTGGGAACACAGAGAATGGAGTGTTTTTAAGTTGGAGGGTTCATAGATGGTTTCACGGAGAAAGTAACATTTGGACTGGGTTTTGAAAGACAAGCAGGCTTGTGGCATGAAGAGGTGAGGAGTAGGAAGAAGACACAGCAGCCTCGGTGACCTGCATGACTAAAAGAGGCAGGGCATGTTGAACCTGGGCAGGTAGTATGATATGCCCAGCTGCCAGAGATGCCAAGAATGGGAGTGAGGTCTGGGATAACCAGAGGAAATAAAACTGAAAAAGTAAGTTAGGGCTGAGGCATAGAGGGCCTTGAATGCCGAGCTAAAAGGCCAGTGTTTCTCCTGCTTTTCCACCAGTATGCCCTTACTAGTAGAGGAGAGCAAAAACATACCATTCTTGGGTGGAGGAAGGGAGGAATGAATAGGTGGAGTATGGGGTATGTTTGGGGCAGTGAAAGTCTTCTGTGTGATCCTCTAATGAATGCATGATATTATGTCTTTGTCAAAACCCATAGTACTTGGCCGGGCATGGTGGCTCACACCTGTAATCCCAGCACTTTGGGAGGCAGAGGCGGGTAGATCGCTTGAGGTCAGGAGTTTAAGATCAGCGTGGCCAACATAGTGAAACCCCTTCTCTACTAAAAATACAAAAATTAGCTGGGCATGGTGGCACATGCCTGTAATCCCACCTACTCAGGAGGCTGAGGCAGGAGAACCATGTGAACCTGGGAGGTAGAGGTTGCAGTGAGCCAAAATCACGCCACTGCATTCCAGCCTGGGTGACAGAGCAAGACTCCACCAAAAAATAAATAAATAAATAAATAAAAAGTAGAACTATACAACACAAAGAGCAAACCCTAATGTAAACCATGGACTTTAGTAATAATGTGTCAATATTGGTTCATCAGTTGTAGCAGGTATACCACACTGTGCAAGGTGTTAGCAATAGGGGAAAACCATGTTTTGTAGAGAGGGGACAGGAGGTTGGGGAAGGGCTTTCATGAGACCTCTGTACTTTCTGCTCAATTTTTATGTAAACCTAAAACTGCTCTAACAAAAATAAAGGCTACTATGAAAAACAAAACAAAACAAAAAAAACAGAAAACAGCATCCTTTTAGCCATGAGATGTACTACAAGTACAAAGTTTTCTAGGAATTTCATATAATATCTTTAAAAAATTACATGAACTTTTCCTTCTTTCCTTAACACAGAGAAGGCTATTTTGACATTTAAAATTTTCCCAGAATTTCCACAGTATAATACATAACCCCTAGGGATATGATTTTTGTAATAAGAAGCATGGCTTTGGCTGAGCACAGTGGCTTACGCCTATATTCCCAGAAGTTTGGGAGGCTGAGCCAGGAGGACCACTTGAACGCAGGAGTTTGAGACCAGCCTGGGCAACACAGTGAGATGCTGTCTCTTTAAAAGGGAGGAAGGGAAGGAGGGAGGGAGGGAGGGAGGGAGAAAGAGAGAAAAGAAGGAAGCATGGCTGTGATTGAAAGGGAGTCACTGAAGTTTTATGTTAAAAATGAAAGCAAAATTAAACCAGTAAAATCATGAGCAACCAATTTCTCTCCCACCCCAGATATTTTTGCATCCTTATTTTCTTTTCCCAGTATTCATACAGAAGCATATCCACTACCTTTAACTCACTTTGTCAGCCTTTATTCTGTATACAGAAAACTTTGCAATAGCATAATGAGAAATAGGTGACAAACCCACCTTTGTGGATATTACAATGTAGACAAAGGACATATACTTTAATATGAAAATAAGTTATACTAAGAAAAGTAGGTACAGAAATGAAAATTAAGCCTGCCAAGGAGACAGCAAAGTAAATGGAATGACCTGCGTTAAACAGGTTTGGATGAATTTTGAAATAAAGGACACTGTTGGATGGGTGCCCTGTCCTTAGGAGCACAGACTTTTCTCTGGGTGTCATTGAGTCCTAGAATGACCTTTAGCTATCACCAGTACACATTTCCCTTTTTGGTGTGCAGTGTTGACACTGAAACACAGATAACTTAAGGTTGTTTGGGTACTTATTTATGTAGATAGACATGTGAACCCATACAGTACCTAATTAGTCCTCTTGAAACCACAGACACACATTCACAGGACTAGTCTTGTTCATATTTTCAAGGCTTTTTTTTTTTTTTTTTTTGAGACGGAATTTCACTCTTGTTGCCTAGGCTGGGGTGCAATGGCACGATCTTGGCTCACCGCAGCCTCTGCCTCCTGAGTTCAAGCAATTCTCCTGCCTCAGCCTCCTGAGTAGCTGGGATTACAGGCATGCACTACCACGCCCAGCTAGTTTTGTATTTTTAGCAGAGATGGGGTTTCTCCATGTTGATCAGGCTGGTCTCAAACTCCTGACCTCAGGTGATCCACCCTCTTTGGCCTCCCAAAGTGCTGGAATTACAGGCGGGAGCCCGGCCTCAAGGCATTTTTTCTTATGAAGATCACAGCTGAAATCTTCAATCTTCAGCTAATGCAAAAGTTTGCCTTTGGAGTGAATTTCTTGTCAATCTGCTTGTTAAGAAAAAGCAAGTGGTATTAAAGTGAGGACATTAAAATAAAATTGCTCCAAAAAAATGATAAATAGATAAAAGAAAAAGGAAAAGCAAGAGGCCCATGTACACATACACAGAGGAGAGTGGCCCCTATTCCATAAGCCTGTTTCATCAATGAGAGAATCAAGAGGATACTACATATACAGAAGAGGGTTTCAGGGTTAGTCTTGAATTTGAATCTTCTACTTCCTAGCTAGAGGACTTTGGGCAATTCACTTTACTTCTTTGGTCCTAGCTTGGTTATCTATAAAGTGGGAATCATATTTCAGATTATGCGGAAGAAAATGTAGGATGTACCAGGCACATGGGAAGTGCTTGATCAATACCAGTTTGCTTCCCTCCTTCCCTGCCCCTTCTGCTAAAACTTCACAGCTATCTCATTAAGTCATCAACGTATTTAGTATTTAATAAATAAATATTTAACGAGCACCTACTATGAAACAAGCCCTTTGTTAGCCAATGGGGATATGACTGCAAACAAGAAAGATACACCTGTGATTTGAGGAGTCCTGGAGTTTATGAGCAGCTCCTTTCTGTCTCCAGTGTGAGCAGTCCTAAATTTACACAGCTCTCTACTGGTGTTTTTGACCACAGGGTTAACATTTAAAATACTTATCACTGCTTTTTGGTACCACTTTGAATAATGAACTGGTTTCAGGTAAACAGAGTCCAGGTACCTATTGCAGAAAGTTTTCCAGTCTACACACTCGGTGGCTCACAAGTTCACATGAAGTGAACCAAAAGAGTTTTGTTGCACTTACTGTGACAATAAATCATGTTTAGAAAAATGCATGTGGCATATATGATATTGGGCAGATGATTCATGAAACTTGCTATTCCATGGCCTTAGAATCTGTATAAGTATTTTTCCTTTTTTTTTTTTGTTTTTTTTTTTTTTTGAGACGGAGTCTCGCTCTGTCACCCAGGCTGGAGTACAGTGGCGCAATCTCCGCTCACTGCAAGCTCCGTCTCCCAGGTTCACGCCATTCTCCTGCCTCAGCCTCTCCGAGTAGCTGGGACTACAAGCGCCCACCACCACGCCTGGCTAATTTTTTTTTTTTTTTTTTTTTTAGTAGAGACTGGGTTTCACCATGGTGTCGATCTCCTGACCTCGTGATCCACCCACCTCGGCCTCCCAAAGTGCTGGGATTACAAGCGTGAGCCACCACGCCCGGCCTTTCCTTTGTCTTTGATGTGTTTTCTTGTTTCTGTCTCTGTTTTGTTTTGTTTTTGTTTTGGGGGTGGTTTAAAATCCATGCTGGGCTAGAGTCTGATTTTGACACTCCCAGGTGTGATCAAATGTTTCCACAAATCTCTCTAACCTTTCTATTCTCAATGTGGGGAAAACTTTCTCCTCTTTAAGAAAAGGTGTATCCACAGAAAAGATAATTATTTGAGTAATATTTTATAGTACAGAAATAATAATTGAGTAATTTTCCCCTTAAAATTTTTTTATTTTTGTATTATTAAGAACAAAATTATTTTAGGATGCAAGTAAAGAAGAAGTTCATTTACCTATATTTAATTTGCCAACTTTTCTATTACACAAAGGCATATGAATACAAGTAGAATAGGAAAAATTTCATCCTAAAGAGAAAAATATTTTGGGCTTCTACTTTCAAGAGAGTAAAATTGTCCTGGAACCCTGTGCACACTTTAAAAACAATCATTAATAGATTGCATCAAACTAGAAACTTCTTCACAGCAAAGGAAATAATCAATAAAGTGAAAAGTCAGCCTACAGAATAGGGAAATCTGTACATCTGATATGGAGTTATGGATTGCAAATCGTACATCTGATATGGAGTTAATATTCCAAAATATATAAGAAACTCAACAAACTCAATAGCAAGAAAACAAATAACCCAGTTAAAAAAATGATGAAGGACCTGAATATCCATTTCTAGAAAGAAGACATACAAGTGGCCAACAGATATATGAAAAGGTACTCACCATCACTAATCATCAGGGAAATGCAAATCAAAAACAGTGAGATATCATCTCACACCCATTAGAATGGGTGTTATCAAAAACACAGACGGTAAGAAGTGTTGGCAAGGATGTGGATAAGAGGGAACCCTTGCACACTGTTCACAGGAACATAAATTGGTATAGTCATTATGGAAAACAGAATGGACTGCCTCAAAAAATTAAAAATAGAACTAGCATATGATCCAGCAATCCTACTTCTGGGTATATATCCAAGTGAAATGGAATCAGGATGTTGAAGAGCTGTCTGCTCTCCCATGTTCACTACAGCATTATTTGCAATAGCCAAGATGTGAAATCAGCCTAAGTGTCAATGGATGAATGGATTTTTGAAAACACAGTATATATATGCATATATAATATATATATACACACATACGTATATACACATAAAGATATATATGTACACACACAGTAGAATATTATTCAACCTTAAAAAAAGAAGGAAATCCTGTCATTTGCAACAACAGAGATGAACCTAGAGGACATTATGCTAAGATAATTAAACTGGGTAGTGTTTGACACAGAAAGACAAATACCACATGATCTCACTTAACACGTGGAATCTAAAAAAGTCGAACTCATGAAAGCAGAGAGTAAAATGGTGTTTGCCAGGGGCCGGAGGGCGAGAGCAATGGGGAGATGTCAGCCAGAGTTTCAGTTATGCAGGATAAGTGCTGGAGACCTAAGTATAGGTCACCTTCAGCGTGGTGACTGTAGTTGGTGATGCTGTATGGTATATTTGAAATTTGCTAAGACAGTAGATCTTAAGTGTTCTCACTGTACATATTCATACTCAAAAAGGTAACTGTCTGAAGTGATCTTGAGTATGATAAATCATTTCATAGTAAATACATGTATTAAAACATCACATTGAATACCTTAAGTTTTTGTGGGTGTGTGTGGTTTTTTGTTTTTTGTTTTGGTTTGGTTTGGTTGGGTTTGGGGTTTTCTTGAGATGGAGTCTTGCTCTGCCTCCTAGGCTGGAGTGCAGTGGTGTGATCTCGCCTCACTGCCACCTCTGCCTCCCAGGTTCAAGTGATTCTCCTGTCTCAGTCTCCCGAGTAGCTGGGATTACAGGCATGCTACCACACCCGGCCAATTTTTGTATTTTTAGTAGAGATGAGGTTTCGCCATGTTGGCCAGGCTGGTCTGGAACTCCTGACCTCAGGTGATCCTCCTGCCTTGACCTCCCAAAGTGCTGGGATTACACGTGTGAGCCACTGTGCCTGGCCTGTATACCTTAAGTTTAAAAATTTTTGTCTATTATACTTCAGTAAAACTGAACAAAATTTTAAATAACAGCAGTCATTAACAGACTCAATTGATGACCTTCTGTAGAAGATAATGAGAGCAGGACTGTTGGCAAGGCGTTTATATGGATACACTGTATGTGTCTGCGCTGTTTCAGGATTCTCTTATTATGATACCTGGGTAAAGGGTGACTTCCTTTCTATCATAAAACAGCCTGGACAGCACTAAGAAGGTGGTTATGTTCTTTTCTCTTGTTGTGAGAGCCTAGATGAGATTACTTTGCCAAAGACTCTCATTTCTCTTTCTGAAACTCTGTGAGCTTGTTGTGTTCTCTGGGACTTAACTTCACAGCTAGTCTATTTTTCCTTTCAGAAATTACCATGGTTGACACAGAGATGCCATTCTGGCCCACCAACTTTGGGATCAGCTCCGTGGATCTCTCCGTAATGGACGACCACTCCCACTCCTTTGACATCAAGCCCTTCACTACTGTTGACTTCTCCAGCATTTCTGCTCCACATTATGAAGACATTCCATTCACAAGAACAGATCCGATGGTTGCGGATTATAAGTATGACCTGAAACTTCAAGAGTACCAAAGTATGATGTTTATTTTCACTTTTCAGACTACTAAGACTGGAATTGGACTTATCTCTCAGTAACCCTGTAGTAAATAGTGCTCCAGACACTAGAATTCTAATAGAGAAGGCATTCACCATTCATTTATTCACCCATTTATCCATGAAATACTAGGTATCTACGAAATGCAAGAAAGGAAGCTGGCCCCAGGTCAATCTTGCCTTCTCCCACTCCTTCCTTCCTCTCTTCTTTCCTTTCTCGCTTACTTCTTTCTTAGGGACATTTTCTACCTTGATTACACTGCCAGTTGTATCTCAGGCTGAGTCCATCATCCAAATTTTGAATTCTTTTGGCCCCTTATAAGTTAATAAGTAACAATTCCAAGTCTCACCTTATATTATATAACTTATCTTCACTATATTACTGCCACTACAGTACATTTTTTCTGTTATGTCCTTTCAGAAGTTTATACTGAAACCTACTTTTGAGCACAAATTTGTTTTAACATTGTAGCCTATTGATAAATTTTCATGCCATTAACTAAATCAACATCAAAACATCAGACTCAAGAAAAACTAGTACTGTACTTTTTGAGATAAAATGTATTTCTGTGATGCTATTTCCTTGATTTTTATCATGTGTGGGCTGACATGCTGGTTTTCCAAAGCCACCACTATGTAATTGGCAATCATTACTTGACAAGTCAGAACTTCCTGTATTTCTAGTGGTTTTTTAAGATAAATAATATGCTTAGTTATATTTATCTGTGTGGTTTTCAGTTAGAGCCTAATATGGAAATTTAGTAGCCCTGAGCCTAACTAGTAAAAGGTAGGGCTTACTTCCATAAGTTCCGCCACACTCTGTCAAAGATTATTTCACAAACCACCTCTTTTGACTGAACACTAATGCTAACCTGGGCTCTTATTTTTCATGCATCTCTAGCTAGGCATACCATGACCTTTTCACAGCGGTATTCCTTCTGTAGTTCTTTTGCAAGAGTTGTTTCAAAGTACTTATAAAATGCAATATTTAAATAAAATGTATAATTTAATATTGTGATGAATACCAAAGACAGAACATTTCCTAGCAAAATAAGCTTCTTGGTGTCAAATCCTCTATGTTGTCTGTTAGAGCTGTAGTATTGCAGGGTACTGGGGGGGTCATAGAACCACAGACTTAATTCTCGTTCCCATTTTATATTTACAGGTGAGGCTTAGAGATGTTGTAACTTGCCTGTGATTACAAAGCCTTCTTTTTCTTGCCTTAACTCCAGTGTTTTTACACTAAAACAATACAAATATAGCATGAAGGTATACTTTGGTGGCTTGCCTTGTTGCCTTTTTAGGACTGTTTTCATGGGATAATTATCCTCTCACATACCATACACAGGTGCAATCAAAGTGGAGCCTGCTTCTCCACCTTATTATTCTGAGAAGACTCAGCTCTACAATAAGCCTCACGAAGAGCCTTCCAACTCCCTCATGGCAATCGAATGTCGTGTCTGCGGAGATAAAGCTTCTGGATTCCACTATGGAGTTCATGCTTGTGAAGGATGCAAGGTAATTTTTAAAAAATCTTCTTCAAAGAAATTGTTGAAACTTTATTATTTCATTTCAGCAGAACCCTTTTTTTAGGTGATACAATAATATGAATTTTTTTTCTTCATGGAAGAGTGTTTTCCTCTGTCCCCCAGACTAGAGTACAGTGGCGCTACCATAGCACACTGCAGCCTTGAGCTCCTGGGCTCAAGTGATCCTCCCACAGCCTCCCAAAGGATGATATAGTATTTGAAAGCCTAAGAAAGTGGATAAAAGTGGGGCTGCTTTGCCCCACATTCCTTTCTCCAAATTGATTCTTTGAGACACTGATCTAGTTTAATCCTTGCATCTTGTGGATTTTTACAAAAAGGTGACTTCTCCAAGGTGTCATGGCAAGACAGTGATGATCTGGCACCAGGATGCAGATTTCCTGCATTCTCTAGTTGTTTGTTTTTTTCGCTATACCATGTAATATTGTATAGACACAAGATTTTACCGATTATTTATATATGCATATCTTTGAATCCCTAGAGCAATCCTGTAAGATTGGGCTTCTTTATGGCCACATTGCAGATGTAGAAATTACAGGTTGGTAAAACTTGCCAAAGTCATCCCTTAGTAAGTGGCAGACCTCAGATTAGACTCTGACTCCTTAGGTAGTGTTGGCTCTCAAAGCAGTGCCTCATGTTTCCTTATTCCAGCATCAATGTGAGCCACATACATGGACAGGCAAGGAGGTATAACAGTGTGGGAAAGGAGATACTATTTATCATTATCTCTTTCCTTTGTGAAAAGGGTATTTTGGAAAATTCAGACATTTAGTAATTTATTGCTTAATTATTAAGAAAATATGTGAATCCACTCATTTTGATATGCAGTCTTTTAAGATAATTTTAATACACACAATGAAAAAATAGTACTAATTTATTATATACTCATTGCACAGAATAAACTTCATAAATAATTACTTTCTAAAATAAACACCTGCTTAGTTGAGCTTTTTATTCAACATAAAGATACAGAACAACAGTTAGGAAAGGTTTAGGACATTTTGGTTCCTAAATGGATGATGGACCAAAAAAGGAAACTGATTTTTATTGAATTCTTACTACGTGCCAAATACTGTATAAGGTAACATGTTCATACATCAGTATTTAACCACATCCTACCCAGGTTTTCTCATCTATAAAATGATTGTGCCTGAGTGTGGTGGCTCATGCCTGTAATCCCAACACTTTGGGAGGCCAAGGCAGGAGGATCACTTGAGCTCAGGGGTTCAAGACCAGTCTGGGCAGCATAGTGAGACCCCATCCCTCCAAAATTTTAAAAAATCAGCCAGGCATGGTGGCACATGCCTGTAGTCCTAGCTTCTTGGGAGGCTTGGGTAAGAGGATCACTTGATCCCAGGAGTTCAAGGCTGCAGTGAGCTATGATCACACCTCTGCACTCCAGCCTGGGTCACAAAAGCAAGACCCTAACTCCTAATAAATAAATAAATAAATAAATAAATAAATAAATAAATAAAATGACACTGAATTAGATGATCTCTAAAATCCCTTCAATTCAAACAGTTTTTACTCTAAAGGCAACCTAATACAGTGAAAAGGGAAAAACCAGAAGTCAGCTCTGCCACTTTCCAAGTCACTAGCCAGTCACATACACATTGTATCCCTCAGGCCCTCCATGTGTAAAATGACTTCATTAGATTGGCTACACAAGGTCTTATTCATCTCTAAGGTCTGTAATTTCAAAATGACACTTTGAAACACTCCTGGCAAGAGATGCTTTCATTTAAAACACTAAAACCCATTCATTCTGTAATTTAAACCAAGCTAAAATATTTATGACCTTTTATGAAATCATTGTATTAAGTCGATTATCTAAGATCTTGATGAGTAGTAAGAACATGTCATTTTATTGACTTAGATTTTTTATTGAGTGTTTTTGTAGTTTTATTGAGTTTTATTGTTAGATTTAATGAGTTAGAGTTTATTTTTACTGAGTTAGATACCATTTTTGAGTGAGTAAATTGTTGCTAAATTCTGAGCCATATTTATCTGAAGAAACCATTCTGTTTTGGTCATGTTGATAATTTACAACTATAAATAAATAAAAACGGCATGATTGGTTTAAGTTTCCACAATAAGTTATTGTTTTTTATGGGCTAGTAAAGCACTTAGAAAACTAAAACCTTTACGCAAGTAGTTCCACCATAATCCTATTAGTCACAAATTTGTGGAAAGCTAACATTACTGAAAACAACTGAAAATAGAAAGACAGGAACATTGTCAGTAGTTGGTTATAGTGATAAATCTAAGTTCTGAGAGCACTAAAACTTAGAAGCAAGCAGGGAAGAAGAGTAGCAAAAAAGAGAAGAGAGAGGAGGAAATCCAGGTGCCTTCAAGTTAGGATTAGAAAGTAGAAGAAGGCAGAGAGGGAGAAAAAAACCTGAAGACTCTAGGGGAGTCCTTAACCTATCATGGATTAAAAAACAAACATAGAAGAAAACTAAGCATATTGTACACTAACCTGCAGTAATTTGCAAACCATCCAAAATGTGAATTCCAGAATTCCTAGACTAAAATGTAAAGAAAGTTTTACTCACTTGGAAAGGGAAAATAGACATCTACACGTTTTAAAGGTAAGAATAAGAAAAATATTATTCTTGGAAAATTCAAACATTTAGTAATATACTATTTAATATAAAGAAAATGTGTGAATCCACTTATATTTTGATATGCAGTCTTTTAAAATAATTTTAATATACCCAATGAATAAAATAGCATTTATTATATATTCATTGCACAGAATAAATTGTTCGTAAATAAAATAAACCCTGCCTCAGCTGGGGTTTTTAAAATAAACCCTGCCTCAGCTGGGGTTTTTATTTGGCATAAAGATATAGAACTGCAGTTGGGAAAGAATTAGGACATCTTGGTTCCTAAATGGATGATGGATTGAAAAAGGAAACTTTTTTTGAATTCTTATTCTGATTTTTATTGAATTCTTACTATGTACCAGATACTGTGTGAAGTACATTTGCATATGTCATTATTTAGCTACATCCTACTCAGGTTTTCTCATCTATAAAATGATTCAGATGATATTGGTATGATGTGGTTACATAATGAAACAATATCATTTGGCTTCTTCAGGTATACATCAGCAGTTCCCAAAGTTCAGGTATACATCAGCAGTTCCCAAAGTGTGGTCTGGGGCTTGGACCCTTTCAAGGCATCCATGCAGTTGAAACTATATTCATAATAATGATTTTTATTACTTTTTTCACTCTCATTCTCTCAGGAGTGGATGTGGAGTGTTCTGCAAGCTACATGATGTAGGATGATGACATAGCTCTGGTAGCTAGTGGAATGTTTGCTTATATGTTCTTGTATATAATAATTTCTCAGTTGTAATTTCTAGTGTGATAAATGTCAGTAAAGATAGTCCACATAAACAAAAACTCTTTGGGATCTTCCATAATTTTAAAAAGAGTAAAAGGGTCTTGCGACCATAAAGCCTTCAGTCTCGTTCTGAAGAAATGCAGTTTTTCATTCTGAAGAAATGCAGTTACTCATTCTTTGCTACTTTGAAACTAAACAAAATTATTGCTGCCACATTCTGAATACTGCTGCGTTAGACCAGTGGCTGTCACTCATCAAAGACATCTCCTTAGTTTATCACCAATACGCAATAAAAAGCCAGGAAAGTGAAATTAGCAAATGTGTTTAACTCATCTGCATGTATTTTCTGAGAGGTGTTTTGGCAGCTTCACATTTGCTATTACAGTAGAATGTGGGTTATATTCATAATTAAAATACAGTTGACCACAAAGCTGCAGGCTTATTTATGGATTGAAAAGAATAAACACAGCATAAAACAACTGTTGGTAGATCTTCCTAAACAATTTTACAGTGTAAATGGAACAGGTTTATATTAGTGATTCTTGCCAAAATTCAGTCAGACAGATGGGAATGAGTAGATTGGGTTTGAATTAAGGTGAAATAGTTACAGATTCTTGGGTTAATATGGCAAACTTATGTAAAATAAAACCTTTAGCAACTGAAACATATATATACTTTAGAGCTTGGAAAGCTATCATTTATTTGTTGTTTACATGTTGGACATATATTTTTTTCTTTGATAAGTTCCATCCTATTTTTTGTCTTTAGTGAAAGATCATTTTAGAACCATAGCCATACCAAAAGATACGGTAAATACAATCTACTGTACAATACAATGTAATCTACGTTTGTATTTCTGTATACAGAAGAATGCTGGATGCTTGTTAGCCACTTGTATGTCTATTCATCCCTACTTCAGAAAGAGTTTTAATTCTTCTCACTTGCCAGTTGTAGCTTATTAATCCAGCTTCCAGGGGCCAGAACGCTTCATGGGAAAGCCAAGTGCAAGCCTAGCACAGGGCTGTTAATTTCATTGTAAAATCAACAATGCCATTCTGAGGTCTCATTGTCCCTGATGTTTTGTTAAAATTAAAGCAATTAAGGAGAGATCAAAGAAAATTTTTCAAATGATATGAAAAATAGGAATCACTTTCTAACAAACAAATGTGCAGACATTAGAGTAAATATATACACAAAATAATTTTCTGAAATGGTGACTGATGCATCTCCAACACACCACATCACAGACTTCCTGATCATCAGAAGAGTAAGTTGTTGAAAATGCATTGTTCTGTGGACTCTGAAATAATAAAGAAGAGTGTTATTAGAGTGTTTTTTCATCAGTAATATGAAGAAAATTTGGAGAAGCCGGCCTTGTTCTGTAAATCAATAAATAATTTTACAGAAAAGCACTCGATAATATCCTTACATCTACTTCTCTAGATTCCTTGAGTCAGATGACAAGAAAACACTTGGTTATCATGAACTCAGTGTAAAAAAGTAAAATCAAGTTCCAAGATGTATACTAGGATCTGTGTATTCAGTTCAAGATTTTATTTACATACACAGTGTATAATGTTTAGAATGCTTATTCATTGAAAGACCTTGAATCATCAC